GCAAAAAAAAAAAAAGTGTTTGAGTCATGTGACAAACTACCCTGGCTTCTGCCTCCCACTGTGAAGGGAGCCAGGCGGAAGTTTGTTGTTGTTTAGTGCCCTACCACTTGAGCCACACCCTCAGCCCAGATTTTTACTGGTTCATTGGAGATGGAGCCTCACAGACTTTTCTACCAAGCCTGGCCTCAAACAGCAATCCTCCAGATCTCAGCCTCCTGAGTAGCTGACATTACATTTATGAGCCCTCACTGCCCAGCTAGAACCCAGGCTTTTGAAAGAACCTCCTGGCCCTTGGGCTTTAGGAAAAAGGCTGGGACTTGAGTGGAGGGGGTACCTGGCCATAGGATTGCATCTAAATGCCCTCCACTGTGTTCTGCTTACATGCTCTCTTTGTCTCTTTTGGTGTCTGTCTGTCTGTCTCTCTCTCTCTCTCTCTCTCTTTCTCTCTCTCTCTCTCTCTCTCTCCTCCCCATTCTAGGATTTGAGTTCAGAGCCCTGTGCTTAAGAGTCACGCATTCTGTCACTAGAGCTACAACTCCTGCCCTTTGGTTCTAGTGAGTTTTCATGTAATGCTTTGTCCCTGTGCTGGCCTTGAACCACAGTCCTCCCCAGGCCTCCTGAACAGCCGGGGTCACAGGTGCACACTACCATACCCAGCTTGTTGTTTGAGGTGTTCTCAACTTTTTGTCCAGACTGTGGCCTTAAACCTTGATTCTGTCTCTGCCTCTCATTAGCCGGGATCATAGGCATGAGCCACCACACCTAGCCATCACTTGCTTTTAAAGAAAACGATTGTGAACTGTGAACATTTGCCATATCCTGTACAATTACAGAAGACAGGCTGAGACTGTGAACTCTCATGTCGACCCCACGGCTTGGTTGAAGAGCACTTGTTGGGTCTCATACTGCTGGGCCCACCGTGGCTTCACGCGCCGTGAAATACTGTTCCCTCCCTGTCACCTGGGTGTCTAAGCAGTCAAGCGAGGAGCCCATTGCTTCCGCATCTTGGCCTTCACCGTCCTTCGCAAGGTTTGTGACGGCCAGGAAGCGATGCCACAGGCACTGGGAACAGCGTCCACCCCAAGGAAGCTCGTGTTCATCCAGGTCTTGTAACTGACATCTAGTTACTTCTGCTCCACTTCACAGAAGTGAAGCCCGTTGGCATCTGCCAGTGGTTATGACCAGGGTTACAACCCCTCGTGCTCCCTCTCCATGACATTCTCCTAGAAGGATGGACTGAAGTCGGGCTCTGAGGACTGCTGCATTGTGGGCCACATGCACAACCTCTCTGAGGAGGATGTGGCTAAATCCAAACCGCGGGCACTGCTGGTGGGAATGCAGATGGCTTGATGGCCCCTGTGCTGTACAGAATTACCATATGACTCACCATCCCACTCAGTGTGCACCCAGAGGAACTGGTAACAGATATGCAGACTTGCCTGCACCCGGCTGTCCACGGCGCTCCACAGGTGCCCAGGGGGCCTCTCCATACATGGGGGCTGGTTAGAAGAGAAGTGCTGGGAGGGGTCCAGACCTGGCTGAGCCTTGAAAACACTGCGCTCAGTGAAAGTGCCACCAGCCCAGGGTGGACATGTGGCCACTGGGGTTGGTGACAGGTGCTGCCAGAGAGGGCTCACTAAAGGACACAGTCATTGTTGTGAACGGCCTGGTGACGAGGCCCTGCCACCTGTCACCATGGTCTTCATCTGTCTGCGCCTGGCACAGGTGCACAGCCCTCCATGAACCTGCTGTCCTTGAGACTGCGCCTTTACCACTCCCAGTCCCCAAGCTAGCTCAGCAGCTGGTGAGGGCGGTGGGCCGAGGACACTGGGAGCCCAGCTGCCTATAGCCGCCCAAGCTGATTTACTGTTTATGACTTTGATTTCTTTTCCAAAACAACAGGAGTAATCAAAAGTCTGTTTTAGCTGGGTGCTAGTGGCTCACATCTGTAATCCTAGCAGAGTCTAGGTCCAGAGAATCATGGTTTGAGCCATTCAGCAGGAAAGTCAGAAAGACTCCATTTACAATTAAGCAAGAAAAAAAAAGCAAGTGCTGGAGTTGTGGTTCATGGTGTAAAGCACCAGCCATGAGCCAGAAAGTCAAATGAAAACATGAGATTCTGATACCAGCAAAAAGGAAAGGAAAACAATTTTTGTGGACACAGGCACACAGCTGGGTTAGGCTCTGTCACAGTATAACCATCCAGACAGGACTCAGATTGATTTAGCACATGAGGTGTTTTTCCTTTTTACCAGAAACCTTTCATTCATGTTAACATCCCCATGTCTGCCAGAGACACAACACAGTCTTCCCAGTGCTGAGACTGTTGGGATTTAAATTCAAGTTTGCTAAGCAGATGCTCCACCCCTTGAGACTCACCCCCAGCCTTTTTAGCTTTAGTTACTTTTCAGGTGGGTGTCACTTTCTGTCCAGGCTGGCTTGGATCATAATCTTCCTGCTAACACTTCCCACCATAACTGGCATGAGAGGCACATGCTACCATACCCTGCTTTTTCTGTTGAGATGAGGTCTCACAAACATCCCCCTGGCCAATAACCATCTCAGCCTCCCTAGTTGTGTTAACAGTAGTGAGCCACCACACCCAGCCATAAATGTGGCCTGTGTGTGTGTGTGTTTGCACGCACGCACGCGGGAGTGCAGGGCTTGGGTGCTCTCCCTGAGCTTTTTTTGCTCCAAGCTAGCACTCTACCACTTGAGCTACCAATGTCCACTTCTGGATTTTATTATTATTATTATTATTATTATTATTATTATTGGAAATAAAGAATCTCACACTTTACTGCATAAGCTGGCTTTGAACTGCTAGCCTCAGATCTCAGCCTCCTGAATAGCTGGCATTACAGGCATGAGCCATTGGTACCCTGCTAAACCTGGCCTTTTTAACAAGACTGGATTAAATGAATGCCCCACCACCTCAGGCTGTAGAAGCATCATTCATTCTCTGTTCATGAACTCCTCAGCTCTGCCCCAGCCCCAGGGAACCCAAAGCTGGGCCTCAGAGCCTGGGACATGCCTCAGCAACATTGTCTGTGCTCTGTCCACCCTGTCCTCCAGCCCCTCTGTGGAGCCCTGTGGCTCAGGTGAGGTACTCTGATGTGAAGCGGGATTTTCTTCCTTCCGTCCTGTGCATCCTGGCTGGGAGGAGCTGAGGCCACCAGCCATGCCAAATGACATAGGATGGCAAATAATTTGCATGCACCCAAAGAAGTAAAGCCTCCAGCCAGCTACCGGTGGCTCACGGCTATAATCCTAGCTTCTCAGGAGGCTGAGATCGGAGGATCGAGGTTCAAAGCCAGCCCAGGCAGGAAAAGTATGAAACTCTTATCTCCAATAAACCACAGAAAACCGGAAGTGGCACTGTGGCTCAAGTGGTAGAGCGCTAGACTTGAGCTGAAGAGCTCAGGGACAGTGCCCAGGCCCAGAGTTCAAGCCCCATGACCAACAAAACAAAAAACAAAAAGAAGTAAAGCCTCCACCAGCGAGAGATGAACCACTCTGGAGGAGAAAGAAACAACAGGGCGCTTTCAGCGCCTTACTTTCTAGAAAATGGATTTATTTTACTTCGTAGGGTCTGTATGCAGCCAGGTTCCAACTCTGTCTTCCTGCCTTGCCCTCCCAAATGCTCGGATTACAGGTGTGTGCTGCCACACCCAACTCTAAATGCTTTTATCTATACAGTTCCCCTTCTGGTATCCTGAGGCTTTCCCATTCCCTGTGACCAGCCCAGCCGTGTCAGGGAGTATGTGTCAGGGACCATGTCTGGACTCTTCAGAGCTCTGCCGATGCCTTCTGGGGCCTGGGTGAGAGACAGGAGGTAGACAAGGACGGCAAAGTGGGGCTTGGAAAGTCAGGTGTGCTGTGGGCCACCCAGAGCCCGCACCACCCAGCTGCTTCCTGTCTGTGCCGGAGAGGGGTGGGTGCAGCAGAGCAGGGTGACTGGTGCAGCCAGAGGCCAGGCTCAGCTGTCTCAGCATCCAGACCTCCTGGCATGGAAGGGTGGCATCTACAGCCAGCTGGCTTGCATGAAGCCCGTTGCCCAGAAGTGAGGGTTTCCCCGACACACACCCCCCAGCCCAGTGCCTCTGCCATCTCAAGTCTGACTCCAGAGCAGACTTCACACACCATGAAGAGGCTTGTGTTCATCATCAGTGCCTGAACGGGGCTTTGTGTCCCATGCCATAAACCAAGACCATGGCTTCCATTCTGCCCTGAAGCTCTTCTCTGGGCCTCCCAGAACAGAGAGACACCAAGTTGGGGCTGCTGGCTGCTGCCGTCCCTCATCATTTCCTTTGGAAGTAATAGGCTGTAATCTGGCCAAAAACCTAGTGTTGCCAGACGTGGCTCACACCTGTGATTCCAGCTGCTCAGGCAGCAGAGCAGGAGAGTCAGAATTCAAGGCCAGCCCAGGCAACAAGTTGATGAGACCCCCATCCCAGCCAGTAGCTAGCTGGGTGTAGTGGTATGCATCTGACATCCCCGCCACACAGGAAGCATAACTAGGAGGATCATATGATCCAGGCTGGACAGTGAGAAGGGACAGGGCATAGCTCAAGTTCTGGAATAGTTGCCCGGAAAACACAAGGCTCTCAGTTCAAACCCCACTACTGTCAAAAATGATGCATCCCCTGGGCATTGGTGGCTCACACCTATAATCCTAGCTATTCAGGAAGCTGAGATCTAAGGATCAAAGTTCAAAGCCAGCCCAGGCAGAAAAGTCCCTGAGACTTTTATCTCCCATAAATTATTCAGAAAAAACTGGAGTGGAGCTGTGGCTCAAGTGGTAGAGTGCTAGCCTTGAGCAAAAGGATCTCAGGGACAGTGCCCAAGCCCTGAGTTCAAGCCCCAGGACCAGCAAAAAAAAAAAAGAAAGACCTTTCTACTCCATACTTTTCACCCTGCTTTCCAGTTTGCATTCACACTGCTGTTCTTACTTCATTTTCTTCTATGAAGACTGAGTTCTAAACGTCTTCTCCTCACAGGGTGAGTCTGTGAAGTACTTCCTGGACAACTTGGACCGGATTGGCCAATTGGTGAGTAAGACCCGCCCCACTCTCAGCCTTCAGAGACTGGAAGTTGTGGTGTTGGGACCCTGCTACACACATGCTCCACCGGGTCCGATCACATCACTGTGAGCTGTCCTGTTCTGTCGGGTGTCTGCCGGGGTCTGGATTCCATTGTGAGCATGGGGAAGACATGCCACCATGAAGGCATGGAGGTGTTCCGTAGTCAGAGGAGGATTTCCTGCAATTGTTCCTGTGGAAATTCAAGCCTGTACAAAAGGACACCCCTCATGCAGCAGTGACTACCCACACCCTCGCCCAGGAACACAACCCTCACCACAGCCTCTAATCAACCATATTTTAGCAGCCAAGCATGGTGGCACATGCCTATCATCCCAGCTCTTGGGAGGCTGAGGCAAGAGAATGGAGGGTATGAAGCCAACATGGACTATAAGACTCTGTCTTAAAAAAACCAAGAGTAGCCAGGCACTGGTGGCTTACACCTGTAATCCTAGCTACTCAGGAGGCTGAGATCTAAGGATTATGGTTCGAAGCCAGCCCAGGAAAGAAAGTCCACGAGACCCTAATGTTTAATTTAATTCCAGAAAACTGGAAGTAGCACTGTGGTTCAAGTGGTAGATCTGAAGAGCTCAGGGATAGCGCCTAGGCCCAGAATTCAAGACCCACAACTGACCAAAAGAAAAAAGAGTAACAACAAAAATAGCCATACTGGGCTGGGAAGGTGGCTCAGTGGTAGAGCGCTTGCCTTGCATGCCTGAGGCCCTGGGTTCGATTCCTCAGCACCACATAAGCAAAAAGAAAAAAAGCCGGAAGTGGCACTGTGGCTCAAGTGGTAGAGGGCTAGCCTTGAGCTGAAGAGCTGAGGGACAGCGCCCAGGCCCAGAGTTCAGGCCCCACGACCGGACCCAAAAAAAAAAAAAAAATAGCCATAGTTTAGTGTGGATCTTTGGAAGATAAGACTCTGAAGATCACAACCAGAATACCTGTGTGTTCTTGAGAAATTTGCCACTGTGCCTTAGTGACAAGCATGTTCATTTGCTTGTAAGACTTTACTTGGTGGCCTCGTTTTTTCTTTTTCTTTTCTTCCTGGGGCTTGAACTCAGAGCCTGAGCACTGCCCTGAGCCTATTTTTGCGCAAGGCTAGCGCTCTACCACTTGAGCCACAGTGCCGCTTCTGGCTTTTTCTGTTTATGTGGTACTGAGGAATCAAACCCAGAGCTTCATGCATCAAGGCAAGCATTCTACCACTAAGCCACCTTTCCAGCCCTCATATTTTCTTTTCTTTTCTTTTTTGGTGGTCATGAGGCTTGAACTCTGGGCCTGGTTACTGTCCCTCAGCTCTTCAGCTCAAGGCTAGTGTTCTGCCACTTGAGCCACAGCACCACTTCTGGTTTCCTGGTGGTTTATTGGAGATAAGAGTCTTACGAACTTTCCTGCCTGGGCTGGCTTTGAACTTCGATCCTCAGATCTCAGCCTCCTGAGTAGCTAGGATTATAGGCTTGTGCCACCGGCACCTAGCCCTCATATTTTCTTGTTGACTTTTAAAAAAAAACCAGTAACAGTGATCAAGTGGCAGAGGCCTACCTAGCAGTGTTCAAACCCCAGTATCACCAGAAAGAAAGTAATAACAGCCAGGCCCCTGTGGCTCACATCTGTAATCCTAGCTACTCAGAAGGCTGAGATCTGAGGATCAGGGTTCAAAGCCAGCCTGGGAAGGAAAGTCTGTGAGACTCTTATCTCCAATTAACCACCAGAAAACCAGAAGTGGCACTGTGGCTCAAGTGATAGAGCACTAGCCTTGAGATAACGAGCTCAGGGGCAGCGCCCAGGCCCAGAGTTCAAGCCCCACGACCAAAAAAAAAAAAAAAACTAAGAATTTATATCAATATCCTAATAATGTCCAAAAGCTGCAATTGGTCCATGTCACTTAAACTGCTTTGAATTTGTGAGTTTCTCCTGTCTTTCTCCTTCTCCTCATTGATGGACTGAAGTAACTAAGCCTTTATGCTATCAGGTGTCGTAGTCTAGACCTGGCTGTAATGTGGTGGAGATGTCCCTCAGGCTCCAGCCCATTAGGCCACATCCCCTCCCCCCTCCCTCCCCTGGTGTTCAGCTGGATTGCTGTGGGAGGTTCTGCTGAGTGCTGGCATCAGTGGTGACTTTGCAGAGCCTGATCACAGTGGCTGGAGAGCTGGGATTACTCAGTGTTGTGGAAGCCTCTGAGAGTTCCCCAAGTGCTGGGGCCTGGCTCAGTCATTAGCACACAGGAGGCCCTAGTTCCATTCCCAGCATCAAAAGAAAGAAGTATTTCATCTGGGCACCCATGGCTCACGCCTGTATTCCTACTTAGGAGGCTGAGATCTGAGGATCACGGTTCAAAGCCAGCCCAGGCAGGAAAGTCTGTGAGACTCGTATCTCCAATTAACCACCAGAAAACCGGAAGTGACACTGTGGCTCAAGTGGTAGAGCACTTACTTTGAGCTGAAGAGCTAAGGGACAGCCCCCAGGCCCAGAGTTCAAGCCCTATGACCAACAACAACAACAAAAGTATTCCAATACCAACATATTAAATATTTCATATTAGGCTTAAATAGCGTTGCAAACCCTAAGTTAGCTTAGTATGAGGTAAGGTAAGACCCTGGAAGTTAGAACATTTTCTATGGAGTAGCAAGCAGGAGGGCAAATTTCCTCTGCAGAAGAGAAATGGTGAGAGTTCACATGGAGACCAACAGCAGGGACCCTGGTCCCCCGTGGCCCAGCCATGGGAACAGGGAACTCAGTGTTCCTGTTTGCGTCCTGGTAAAGGCATAGTTCTATAAGCAAAGTTTGCTTTGGATATTTGGCTCAAGTTCCTGGAAGAGTTGAACCAAACCTTTTCTCACCTTTCCCTCTGCCCTGGCCTCTGCCCTCTGCCCCTTCCATCTCCCTGCCCTTCCTCCCTCACCCTGTGTTTTCCAGAACTACTTCCCCAGTAAGCAGGACATCCTGCTGGCCCGGAAGGCCACCAAGGGCATCGTGGAGCATGACTTCGTCATTAAGAAGATCCCCTTCAAGATGGTGGACGTGGGTGGGCAGCGGTCCCAGCGCCAGAAGTGGTTCCAGTGTTTTGATGGCATCACCTCCATCCTGTTCATGGTGTCGTCCAGTGAGTTTGACCAGGTGCTTATGGAGGACCGGCGCACCAACCGCCTGGTGGAGTCCATGAACATCTTTGAGACCATCGTGAACAACAAGCTGTTCTTCAACGTCTCCATCATCCTCTTCCTCAACAAGATGGACCTGCTGGTGGAGAAGGTGCGGAGCGTGAGCATCCAGAAGCACTTCCCCGACTTCCAGGGTGACCCGCACCGGCTGGAGGACGTGCAGCGCTTCCTGGTCCAGTGCTTCGACCGGAAACGGCGCAACCGCAGCAAGCCGCTCTTCCACCACTTCACCACTGCCATCGACACGGAGAACATCCGCTTCGTCTTCCACGCTGTGAAGGACACCATCCTGCAGGAGAACCTGAAGGACATCATGCTGCAGTGAGACGGGGAGGGAGCCCGTGCTGCCCGCGCGGCCTCACCCAGTGCCCCGGCCGTGCCAGTGAGCCAGGGGCAGCAGGACCCGGCAACTGTCGCGTCACGTGAGCTACTGAATCTGGGGCCCGGCAAAACTACTGAAACTCCAGCCTGTAGCACCTGGTAACAGCTAGCTTGCTTCTCACAGGCACCTGCTCCCTTCCCGACACCGTGTCATCAGGGCAGGGGCGCGCACGCGCTCTAGTGACAGAGTGCGTGCACACCCCTTGGCCTGGCACACCAACCCCGAAGCTCCGCCTCGACAGCTTGCAGAGGAACCCGGGCTGCTCAGCCCAGTGCCCGAGCCGCCCTCCGAGTGAGCGTGCCGTGCTGCCTTTAACTTCACACCAGTGCCCGAGGGGCCCTGCCGGCCCCACTCCCCGCTGTGGGCCACAGGGTAGGGGTCCTGCACCTGCCTTGTCCCCAGCAACAGCTCAGCCTCATCAGCATGCCCAGTGACACACCAGGGACAGGATGGCTGCTGGCTGCAGCTGTCAGTCTGCCCCCATGCCTACTGCCATGGTGCTTTTTCCTCCTTGATCCTTCCCCCCCAGTGGCAAAGCTGAAAACCCAAGTGGCCTTACAGATGCCCCTTGACCTCATTGGGGAAAAATAGGGGCTAGAGTAGCTGGCACAGCACCCCCAAACTCCTCATGCCACAGCTGCCCAGGGAGTCCCTGGCAGCTGGCCTTTCAAGTGGCCAAAAAGCCCAGAGCAATCCCAGTATCTGCACACTGCCCCCCCACCACCACCAACGCCTTACACAGCTGCTCCCCAATTTCCTAAGCCTGACTGCGGTCGACTGCCCCACCCCCATGGCACACCCAGGGCGAGGGAGCACCGTCAGGCCCCTGGTCAGAGTGAGGCTGTGCCTGGCTAAGCTCAGCTTGCGTCTATGCCCACCAGCCCGGAGGGCACACAGGTGCCACACTGCATTCCATAGAAGCCTGGTGCAGGGCCTAGCTCTTTCCCCAGTGACTCCACAACAGAGAAAACACCGCAAAGCGCAGTGTGGGTGGCTTCCTAACACCGGCCCAGGTCCCCAGGCTGCGCCGGCCATACTGCACCTAACCCACCTGACCCCAGCAAGCAGGCAAACGTGAATCCGTGGCAGTTGCTAAATGTGGTGGCGTGCTCTGAGCAGGCCTGGTGACCACGGCGCATACTAGGAAACAGTGGAGCATCCTGCTTGAGGCCCGCGCGCGCGCAGATATGTGTGATTTCACTCCTCTCTGGCTGCTTCTGGTTTCCTCTAGCTGTTACAAGTGCAAGGGATGTGGCTAGGCCCAGGTTCAGAGGACGTAAGTTGCCCAGGGTTCTTGGAGGGGGTGCACGGGGATGGACAGAGCCTGGCCCACAGTGTAGGTTCCTCGCCCAGTGTCCGTTACGGTGAAGAACATGAGCCCAGTTATTCCTCCACCTTGAGGGCATGCCTGCCTGGCTCTGTTGGAGGTTGCTGGAAGGACGTGGGGGCTGTCCATGCCAGGGAGCGAGAGCCCTGGCTCTCTGGCAGTCTCTCGGACCCAGATGCTCCTGAGGGGAGCTGCACAGCTACCGCTTAGCAGATGGTAGGTGAACGGTGAGGCCCGTCCTAAGCTCAGCCTCTGGCCACAGCCCCAACAGCTGGGCCTGCGTGGCCCCCTTTCCCATGTCCTGAGACACACCCAACCCTGAACTCAGAAGTATTGTCCGTGCAGAAGGGAACTGTCACCACCTAGGCCAACACCCTCTACAGCTCGCCCCACATAGATCGTAGCCCTTTCTCCTCAGCCTTAGGCTTTTGTATTTTTATTTTATTTCACTGTTACTCTGTTGTTTTTTATTGTGATGTTGGAGAAGCGGGGTGGGAGGGGTACCTCTATTGCAAAAAGTGTAACAATAAACTTCCTCGAAATAAGACCTCTTCCTCATCCTTACACTGTTTTAAACTGAGAACTGCATGTAGGTTTGTTACGGAACTAGACTTTTAACTCCTCTGTTTGTAGAGAAATTATTTCAAAGATTTTGCGTCCTAGCTCTGTAATATAATTTATAGAGATCTCTAGAGTTCCTATTCCTGTAACTTTCCTACTTCTTTGATAAAAGAAAAATGAGTCAGGTTGTTTTAACTCCAAGTTCAAAATAATAATAATATTCAAACACACTGGTGAGTTATGGTTGACTGTCTTCGGGGGTCCGGGACACACCCCAGTCCTGGGGAGGTGGGTGTGGTAGGACAAAGGCTCTCACAAGGACAGAGGCTGGAAGCTGATCCCAGGACATTCCTCTACCTGGCAAATGTTAGCCTGGACTTCAGAGGCTGGCTCAAGGGCTCTAGAACCTTCCATCTCTGGATGTTGGTTGAAATAAATCTTTGGGTTTTCTTTATCATTCATCATTTAATGCCAACAGTAATGCCGGTGCCATTGGCTCACGCCTGTAATCCTAGCTACTCAGTAGGCTGAGATCTAAAGATCACAGTTCAAAGCCAGCCCAGGCAGGAACATCCAGGAGACTCTTATCTCCAGTTAACCACCAGAAAACCAGAAGTGGTACTATGGCTCAAGTGGTAGAGTGCTCGCCTTGAGCTGAAGACCTCAGGGACAGCACCCAGGCCCAGAGTTCAAGGCCCATAACCAACAACAAGAAACTAATTTTTTTTCTACTTTCAACTTTTAGGGTAGTTCATTGGAGATAAGAGTTTCATAGACTTTCCTGCCCAGGCTGGCTTCGAACCTCAATCCTAAGATCTCAGCCTTTTGAGTGGCTAGGATTACAAGCATGAGCTACTGATGCCCCACTTAGCTTTTACTTTTTGTTCAAGAAAGCTTTCATCTTGCCCCTGGAAAACCAAAAGTCAGTCTGGAGGAAGGGAACCCTGTTGCTACCTCAAAAGCTGCCTCAGAGAGGTGGGCCATGGAGGCATCCAGTAGAGGCTGCGCCCCCATGGCTGGCCATGCAAGACAGCTCCCACCCTGTCCACCGGTGCATAGAGGCAGCTGCTCAGAGCAGGCCCTTCCCTGGGGCCAGCAGGGCCCCAGAAGCAGGGCCTCGCACGGAAGCCCGCCCCACATGGAGCTGGACAGCCCCGGGTGAGCAGACTCAAAGAGGAAGGAACCTGGCCTTCCAAACAGGAAGGGCTACTGATACGCTCACGGATGGATCTGTTTTCAGTGGACCTCTTCCTCCATGGATTTTTCCTTAATTCGGTTTGTGGCATTCATCTTGAGAATGAAAATACAATATTTTAAGCATTACAGTAAAAAAAAAAAATCCATGACTTTTTCCTTAATTTGGTTTGTGGCATTAACTTTGAGAATGAAAATTAATATTTAAGCATTCTAGGAAAATTAAATAACAATGTATTCTATCAAAATCAAACTCAGGAGATGCCTACATTTAGATAATATTTTCACTTGATTGAAAAGTGACTGCCAGGACTCACTCGTGGGGCTTGAACTCTGGGCCTGGGCGCTGTCCCTCAGCTCTTCAGCTCAAGGCAAGTGTTCTACCACTTGAGCCACAGTGCCACTCCAGTTTTCTGGTGGTTTATCGGAGTTTCATGAACTTTCCTGTCCAGGCTGGCTTTGAACCAAGATCTTCAGATCTCAGCCTCTGAGTAGCTAGGATTACAGGTGTGAGCAACCAGCCTGGCCAATTTATATATATATATATATATATATATATATATATATATATGCTTTTTGACAATGCCTCAGTGTGTAGCCCAGGCTGGCTTCAAACTCACGATCCTCCTGCCTCAGCTTCCCGAATACTGCGATTATAGGTAGGTGCCACCAACGGTACCAGCTCAACTACTGAAAGCGGCCTGTATGGTGCTCATGTGGTGAGGCAGAGGCCTATCTTGGGCAGGTGCTGTGCGTTTGGTGCAGTTGGAGAGCCCTGCCTAGGACCCTCGTCTGCAGGCGTCACTGCTATGTGGGGTCTATGAGCGCTTTCAAGAGCCCCACAGAAAACAACTGTGGGGGTGAGTAGGACAGGAAGGTGGGTGCAACAGAAAGCTGTGTTCACACCCAGTGGCTCATGCCAGCCCCCGCCGCCTTCACTTGGACCTCTCAGAGGCAGGATGCCACTGCTCCTGTACTACCCTGCTCCTGTACTACCCAACTTGGCCACTAGAGGCCCCAATGGGACCAGAAAACCCCATGGGTCACTCCCAAAGGGAGTACAGGAAGTGACTGAAGCCTGGTCTCATTTCAGAAAAGAATTTTTTTTTTCTTGGCAGTACTGGAAGTTGAACTCAGAGCGTCAAGCTTTCTAAGCAGGTGCTCTACCACTTGAGTCACACACACACACACACTGTAGTCCTTTTTAGTTATTTTTCAAATAGGGATTTTTTGCCTCCGCTCACCTGGACAGTGATCCTCCAATTTATGTCTCATGCATAGCTGGGATGATAGGCGTGAACCTGTACCCAATTTATTGCTTGAGATGAGATCTCTAACTTTTTTTACCTGGGCTCTCCTGATTGCCATCTCCCGAGTAGCTGGGATTACAGGAGTGCACCACCATACCCAGCTTGGTCCATTTCTTTTCTGGATGGTTTGTTGCGAGCTGGGGGTCTATATGGAGAGGGCATGAGGTTGGACTTGCCAGGCTGTTGGGGGCCCTGTAGGAATCTGCCTCATACAGCCGGGCCCCCAGTCCCCCATCATGGGGATCATTGGAGGCAGGGCGGGGCTGAACGGAACGTGACCCCCAGCCATTTCTTGGAAATAGCTTTTCAAAACAAACCCGACTTAAGCTTGTTTTCCTTTGCCTCTTATCCAGGAAGCCAGGCTCAAAAATAAACGTTGGTTATTTTTGGGCTCTGGTAGATCAGGTGATGCTGTGGATGCCGGACCAGAAAGAGGCGTCAGCCATAGCTATCAGCCGCCTGCAGCCCTCCCAGCAGCTCTCTATGAGGAGGCGGGCTTGGTGGCCTCCAGCACAAGACAGTGTTTAACAGTCCATTGCCCTGAGGCTATGAGTTTGCTATTTCTTTGGGTTTCCCTGAAAGCAAAGGCCCACCGGGACCAGACTGGTGGGTTCTAGCTATGGAGTGCCAGTGGCTCACACCTATAATTCTAACGACTCAGGAGGCTGAGATCTACAGATCATGGTTTGAAGCTAGCCTAGGCAGACAGATCCATGATAACTAGTAAAATGCTGGAATGGAGGGCTGGTTCAGGTGGTAATGTACCAGCCATGAGCAGAAAACAATAAACAAGAGCACAAGACCCTGAGTTCAAGCCCCAGTCCAGGCACCAAAAAACAAAATTTTGTTTGTAAAAATCAGAAGACCCATGGCTGGGAATGTAGCTGCGTGGTAGAATGCTTGCCTAGAATGCATGAGGCCCTGGGCTTGATTTCTCAGTACCACATACACAAAATAATAATAATCAAAAGAACCAGTTCTGCCTCTGTATCTCCAAAACTGGGAACTGATCCCCACAGGTAGCATTGAGGCTTCTGTGCCTGGCTGATGAAACTCTGGTGGCTCCAGGCTGAGACCAGGCACTTCCTGCCAACATCAGAAAGCAGATGAAGAAGCAGTTCCCCAAGACATTCCCTGGGGAACCCAGAGAACGGGGTGCAAAGAGGCACAGGGCTTGCACTGGGGCAAACAACCTGATCCCCACCCCATACACACCCCAGCTCCCACCGCAGAATGACAGCAGCGCGGGAAGAACAGAGTCTTCAGAAGCAGGGGTGCCAGTTGGACCCAGGGCTTGAGGGGACCTTACCAGGAGGGCCTGCCCAGCCTCCGAGGCCCACACCCCCATCCCTGCCCATGGGACCTGCAGAGCAGCTGCCACCGTGAATACACCTTCTGCATGTGGGCCATGGCCCTGGAAGATTCTAGAAATGCCTTTGAACTGAGTGGAATCTAAATTTGGATTCATGGCTTTGGCAGTAGCCTTTTGGCCAACTGTGTTTTTGAACCCTTGAGGGGTAAAGGCTCCTCATCCAAAGGCCCACCTCCCCGACCCATACCTGGAAAATGGGGTGCAGAGCTCATCACTTGCCTTTCCCATGAGGGTCCCCCACGTGCTGCTCTGACAAGCCTGGGGCTCGGTCCCTGCCCACATGGACTGCGTGCACCTGTCACGTGACTAGCTGTGCATGACATGTAGCCACCCTGAAATATTCAGAGCTCCAGCTCAGCCAGCCACGATGAGGAAAATAACCCAACAAGTCCCAGAAAGCTAGGCCTGCTCCCCCGCATCCCAGGGCTCCCAGCAGCAGGCGAACAGATGACAAAACTCTAAGATCAACTTGGGACTTTTATTGCTTTTTTAAAAAGCCCACACTCTTGCCCAGCATCTGTAGCTCACACCTGTCATCCCAGCTGCTCAGGAGGCTGAGATCTGAGGACCTCTATTCAAAGTCAGCCTGGGCAGAATAATCTGAGAGATTCTTATGTCCAATTAACCAGCAAGTACCCAGGATACAAGCATGGCTCAAGGGGTAGAGCACCAGCCAAGAGTTTGGAGAAAAAAAAAAAAAAAAGGTGAACAAGAGCATAAAACCTGCCGGGCACAGGTGGCTCACGCCTGTAATCCCAGCTACTACAGAGACTGAGATCTGAGGACTGCAGTTCAAAGCCAGCCCAGGCAGGAAAGTCCATGAGACTCTCATCTCCAAGAAATCACCAGAAAACCAGAAATGGCGCTGTGGCTCAAGTGGCAGAGCACTCGCCTTGAGCAGAAGAGCTGAGGGACAGCGCCCAGGCCCAGAGTTCAGGCCCCACGACTAAAGAAAAAAACATAAAGCCCTGAGTTCAAGCCCCAGTATCAGCACAAAAGAAATGGGGAGCCCCTGAGGGGACCCCTATGCTGTGCTCAGATCAGAACCCCATGTACACCACCAAGTAATTCCATGTGTGTGGATGAAGTCAGTAGGAACAAAACCCATTGCATCCCCAGCGAGGGGCCTGTGTCCACCCTGGACATTGCAGAGTCTGGACAGGCTCTCAGACCCCAGCTGTAAATAACGGGCGCTCATGGGCCCCAGGCTGCCACCCCACTGTGCCTTGAATCCAGCTGTGCTTTGAAGCAAGCAGGTAGGCACCGGACCTCAAGGAGCCCTCCAGCTCTGGGGTCTCTCCTTTTAGCCCTGCTGGGTGGCTCGGGACAAATGTCTGTGTGAGACCGTCCCTGTGCCCTAA